GCATGGAAGTATGGCGCATGGAAGTATAACGCATGGAAGTATAATGCATGGAAGTATGGCGCATGGAAGTATAACGCATGGAAGTACGGCGCATGGAAGTATGGCGCATGGAAGTATAACGCATGGAAGTACGGCGCATGGAAGTATGGCGCATGGAAGTATAACGCATGGAAGTACGGCGCATGGAAGTATGGCGCATGGAAGTATAACGCATGGAAGTACGGCGCATGGAAGTATGGCGCATGGAAGTATAACGCATGGAAGTACGGCGCATGGAAGTATGGCGCATGGAAGTATAACGCATGGAAGTACGGCGCATGGAAGTATGGCGCATGGAAGTATAACGCATGGAAGTACGGCGCATGGAAGTATGGCGCATGGAAGTATAACGCATGGAAGTACGGCGCATGGAAGTATGGCGCATGGAAGTATAACGCATGGAAGTATGGCGCATGGAAGTATAGCGCATGGAAGTATAACGCATGGAAGTATAACACATGGCAATATTTAACGCGTAGAAATTTTTAGCGCGAGAATACGGGACGTGACGTTATCTAACGCGTGGAAATAGCATTTGACGATATCTAACGTGTATATTCATCACGTGACAATATCCAACATCTAATGAAACCAAGTGTTTATACAATACCTAACACATTAATAATAATTTACAAGCTTCTGATATGTACATCTAATTACAAGTTACAATATATTTTCCAAGGTATTCAATATTTATTTAAAAAGAAAGAAAGTATTCATGAAATTAAAAGTTTGATAAAAAGTATAGAGCGAACTTGAGAGATTTGTAGTTTCATATTTACTTAATAATTACGCTGGAGGGTAGAAAGAAACATCAATTAAGTGTATACCTTTTGAAGCAAATGATTTAACGAGTCCCCGAACATATGCGCCCCGTGGTTTTCAGAGGGTTTACCCTTAAATAATCGCATGGGGTTGAGATGATCAAACATTTAAAAACATACATCACACACTGAATACTTTCATATAAAATTCTTGCCTTGGGCTATTTATGCGTTAATAAAACTTATTATCACGTCCTGGTAACGCAATCAAAAATTCAAAGGAACGTATTTTTATGGGGGTGAATTTCATTAATTAGATAGAATTAACTAATTCAGAATTGTTTTCATTAAAGCAAGGATGTTCATGATGGTCACTTATAGTCTATAAATTATTCAGTTGAATATTAAATATTTTCAATGATGAGCAATTTTGAAGTTCTTGGATTTAGACCAACCCTTTGTATTTAAAAAGAAGCTCATTCCTCTACAACCTAATCTAACCATATGATGCAATGAAATACTATGAAATATTTTTTAATTATTCCTACAGTGTTCTGCGTTTGATGTGAATAAACATCAC